GAGGAGGAGGAGAAGGAGGAGGAAGAGGAGGAGGAGGAGGAGGAGGAGGAAAAAGGAAAAGAAGGACAAAATTCTCAGATCTTCTGTTGCTATATGATTCAATTAAGAGAGAAAAAAATGTTCTTTAAATATATATCTCTAATAAATCCTCTAATGCAATACATTCTTTAGACTGAAGATACATTTTGTATTTATTTTTTTCCAATATTCTTCATTTAAAATGTAACATTGCTTTGTAAATAACTCCACATACCACCAAGCTTGCATAGTTGTCAACTTCTTGTTTGCTTCTTTTGATTAGCTTGGTTTGTAGGCTTCTTTTTCATACTGGCCATGAAGAAAAATGCAAGACAGTTTTACCGAAGACAATATTAAGATACTAGATGCTAGCTGTGTAAGAAAGTTTAAAAGGGATGGGAGGGATACCAAGGGAGTGTTCAGGAAGATGGAAGTTCTGGTGTGTGTTTTGTGCTGCAGAGTGGAGCAAAACAAAAAACAAAAAACCAACCCAAAACAAAACAAAACAAAAATCCCAAAGCTGCTTATATAAGCAAGAGAAATGTTGATTCAAAGGCATTCTTTCTCTTTTGGATCTGACTCCAGTTCTGCTCTTTGTTCAGGGTTTTTGTCCAGAGTAATGATATGCTTTCTACTATTATTCTTTTTCTATGAAATGAGTATTGAGTATTTTGCAAGTGACCGCAGGTGCCACAACAGCTATTTTGTAAATTAGCATTATCCCATGGCATCACTTTGCAGTGGCTCTCGATTGTTTCTCAAAACTCCAAATTTGTTGATTGGGCCCAAACATTGGAGTCTTGTGGGTTAACCTGGGAGACTGAAAACTTTTGTGGGATGGGCACCTCTAGACAGACTGAAGGAGAAATACGGAAAGTAGGGGTAGTCCCCGACTTACAACAGTTCGCTTAGTAACCATTAGAAGTTACAACAGCACTGATAAAAGGGGCTTCTGACCATTTTTCACACTTATGACCATTGCAGCATCCTCATGGTTATGTGATTTGCATTCAGATGGTTGACCCACATTTATGACAGTTGCCGTAGCCCAGAGCCAGGTCATCCCCTTTTGCTACCTTCTGCCAAGCAAAGTCAATGGGGAAACCAGATTTACTTAACAATCATGTTGTCAGATATTTGGAACGCTGACACATGTTACTAATTTAACAACTGCAGTGATTCACTTAACCAATACGACAAGAAACTCTGTCAAATGGGGCAAAATTCACTTAAAAATTTCTCACTTAGCAACATAAATTGTGGGCTCAATTGTGACCATGTCGAGGACTACCTGTATAAGGTTAGATGGGATTTTAGTCCATTTTTAAAAAAACCTAAGACATTCTAAAGAAGGGGTTGATTCATATGATAAAAAAAAATTCACACAGATTCATAGTTTCCTAGCATCCACCAACCCTTCTTCCTTTGTGCCCATTTCTGAATACAAAGTTTTTAATGCCTTTAACAAGAATAGAGCTCAATGTAACAATGAAGTCATGTTAATGTAATCCCCCTCATCTTTTAAATGATTCTCAACATTCCCTCCCACCCATTAGCACTGTTAAAAGGAACCAAAGACAATTTCTGCTTTTCAACTCCACAGTCAGCAGAACTTTCTGTTTATGGTCACAGTACATCCTTACAGCTTTCTGTTCTCTACTTCCTAATTTCTGAAATATTTATTTTTGCGACTTAACTTTCTGTACTAAAATATGGCATCTCACAGTTTTTAAGAGTGTTGAGTTTTGTGTCTAGTGAGGGTTTTGTTCATTTCTACAAATGTGTCAACCTAATCTACCGGTACTTACACCTACCATGCATACTACTTTGAATGAGAGCGGGCGGGGGAGAGGAGAAAATAATGGAGGAATGCAAGCATGTTTGAGAAAGATGGCATTTCTCCAAGTGCCTTTCCCAGCAGTATATTTTTTAACACACTCGGATCCAATGGATTTTAAAATATTTTAAAAACAACTTCTAAAAACCTCAGGATGAAATCCCTCTTTCCCTTCAAAATAATGCTGCAAATCTTTTGGGTTACTCAAAGATTGAAAATTGCATCTAAGTCAACCAATCTCACTGGAGTGAGAGGACTCACTGGAGAAGAGCCTAATGCTGAGAAAGTTTGAGGGCAAAGGAAGAAAGGGACGACAGAGGTGGCTGGATGGAGTCACAAAAGCAGTAGGCGTAAGGATGGTAGAGGACAGGAAGGCCTGGAGGAACATTGTCCATGGAGTCACAATGGGTCAGACACGACTTCGCAACTAAGAACAACAACCACCACTCCAGTTTGTAGCCACACTAACATTCATGTTCTTTGAATAATTTTCTGAAATTAAGGATAATATCCTTTGGTGTAAGGAAAGATATCACAATGGTGTTTCTTATATCCATTCCTCAGTATATTTAATGATACTCCACCTGGAAAATGACCATACAAAATATGAGAATCATAATTTTCCAAAAAGACCAACTATATTTCTTAGCCTATGAGTTTTCTTCAACATAGGTAGTCCTCGACTTACGACTACAATTGAGCCCAACATTTTTGTTGTTAAGTGAGATTTGTTAAGTGAATTTTGCCCCATTTTATGACTTTTCTTGCCTTAGTTGTTAAATGAATCTGGCTTCCCCACTGATTTTGCCTGTCAGAAAGGCACAAAGGGGGATCACATGATCACGACCTTGGGGCACAGCAACGGTCAGAAATATGAACCACTTGCCAAGCATATGAATTTTGATCACATGAACAAGAGGATATTGCAAATGTCATAACTGTGAAAAATGGTCATTAGTCATTATTCTCAGTGCTGTTGTAACTTTGAACGGTCACTAAATGAACTGTTGTAAGGCAAGGACTACCTGTATAGGGTATACCAGCTAGTGGCGTGTGACTGTGTGTGATAGCTAATTAAAATACAATAGGTTTTTAATAGTCCTCTACCTCTGAATATTATTTATACTTTATCTGTCCATCAATCCCTGATCCACATCTGACGTGTTAATGTGTGGTCACAGGTAAAATAACTGGCTTGTAGCAAGCTTTAACATTGAACTAAGTTTCTCTGTCATGAGATGCTTACTTTAATATTCACTCCTTATATTCTGAACAGGATGAGAAGAAAATGAAGGACTAGAAACAATAAATACCAGAAACACCAGGAACTGAAAAAGGGATATGGGGGAAGAGCCAGACAGAAAACTACATTGCAATTTAGTGGATCTGAAACTGATACATCAGCCAATAATAGTATTTAACTATACTATCTATCATTTTTACCCAGAAAGTAGAGAATCTAGAATTTAGGAAATCTCCCCAAGTAAAGAAGAGTTGTTTTTTTTAAAAAAAGGGGGGGGGATACAAGCAAAGCAATACATGCATTTAACTCTCTCTTTCCAGCAGAAATGGCAACAAAAAATAATAAAAGGAAGCAAATGCTGAAATAGGAAAAGAAGCTCTGCTTAAACATTACAATAAGAATTACATTCACCAGGTAAATAGCCTCTTCCAAGCAGCAGTAAATAGTCTTAATCTTCAAAGGCATCCAACCCTAAGATGATACCATCCATTTGCAATTCACAAGTTGCTTCACTTTCAATAGTTTTTTTTAATTTGCTATGTTCTTAGCAAATGTACCATATTTTTTGTAGTATAACACGCACCTTTTTTTCCTCAAAAAAGAGGTTGAAAATCTGGACGTGTCTTATACACTGAA